ACAGTCGAATAGTTTTCCCTCTGTCGAACACAGTCGAAATGTTTTGTTCTTGGTTGGAACGCTTCTTGGTCGAAAAAACCCTGTGTTAAACTCAGTCGAAACGCTTTTCCTCGGTCAAACACAAACAAAGTTTTTTTCTCGGCCGAAACTTTTCTCGGTCAAAACGTTTTGCTTCGGTCGAACTTGTTCGAAATGTTTTTCTCAGTCGAACTTGGTCGAAATCTTTTTCTCGGTCAAACATGGTCAAAATGTTCTTCCTCGGTCTAACATAGTCAAATCATAGACAGCTTAGGTAGATCCAATCGGAACATACCGAGCCTGGGTAATGACGGTCGAAACATACCCTTTTTTGTCGAGTGCGTCGGAACATAAATCGCAAAACTCGACCCGGGAATGTCTCCCCAAAAAAGTTGTACGTGGAAGCAATTGTGCTCATGCTTTTGTTTTTGCTAATTTGAAACTGCAGAGGTTTCAGAAGACTGCAAGATTAAATTTATTACAAGTAAAGTTCAAAAGGTTACAAGAAAAAATCAGCCAATCGTCTCACAAGACTAAAAGGTATTCGGTTTTCGTCACAGAGTCACCGGATTTATTAGACGCCGTTTTCATTTTCGAAATGACTTCAGAGAATAACCAAGTGGCGCCACTTCGCTGTATCCAAGAGGGATGAGTTTTGCGGCTGTGACTGTTTTGTAGGGGATTTGGGGCAACGATGCGGTCATCAATGGCTGTGTCGTCATTAAAAACAGAATTGCCATTCCGATGTGTATGCGGAAAGCGGTTATAACTAGATTAGATGACACTCATTCTAAACAAGAGGACTTTTTTTACTTTGGTGGTAGTAGGTCACTATTCAAAATATACTTCAGTATCTTTCGCTAGATCTTCTGGAGCAGACAAAGTCTTTCAATTCCTCACAGAGTTTTTCCAATATGATAGTACGCTTGAGTCTGTTAGAATTGGTAAATATACCGGTTTCAAAAATAACAAGCATAAGAGCTTCTGTTGAAAAACAGAAATCAATCGCATATTTTGAGAACATCATCGGTGTGGTCCGGTTGAATATAGTATCAAGACGGTTGGGAGGAAGATAATACAGATAATATTTTATCCGAGGTTTTCAAGTATCCAATCAGAATGGGTTTGATTTTGAAGGGTTTTCAATTTATCAAATTTTAGGATACTAGGAACTCGCCATTCGAACAAGATATAAGACGACTCCTGAAGAATAGCATGAGCTGTCAGATTCGACATCCAAAAAGCCAATCATAGGGCTTTTTGGATCTCGACTCCTGTTTGGGTCAACTCAAGGCGAAGACAGAAGAATCCGGGTTTTGAGGTCAATCGCAAAAGCGATTAAGGAAAAGCGCCAGTTGAAGAGTTTGTTATCCCAGGTAGAGGGCTTACAGGGAGACGCCCATTGCTTGCGGTAAATATTCGCAATGATCTGAACCAGAGTACTCAGAGGTTCAATGCGTATTTACGTGTCACCCAAAAAGTTTGGTTAATCTAGACTTTTGATCCTGTTCGTTATCCTCGTAATGTCTCGGTTTTGCGTAAAACACTAAATCGCAAATCAGGACGCTCCGAGACATATTGATCGAAATCAGATGTGTGCCGATACATATGATCGAAAACGATCCACAAGGAAAACGCCACTAAAGGATCCACTGGTGCAGGAAGGTCGTCCTGCTCGAAGACTCATAAGAATCCAGGAAGTGACTTCACATCCTGGGAAAAATCTTCAGAACAAGAGATAAAAAAGCTTTGCCCGCAGCTGGTTAATCGACTCCAACAGCGAGAAAGGAAAGAAAGGAGACATATCTTTCTACTCAAGATTCATCGGAGACTGAAAATTGTCCGGAAGTTTTGAATACTTGAAGTTTACAACCGGCAATCGTCGCGTCAACAGTTCAACAAGAGAAGAGTTTTTAATCATCAAAAAAGGCTGGAACTTGAACTGAGTGCGCCGCTTCTAATTTCAGGACAAGGGAACCGAAGGCACGGATAAAATAAGTCTGGAGCTATCAAAAGAAGGTCCAAGTTCTTCGACTTATAAAAAGTCTCAGATGGTATCACACGAACCAGAAGAAAGCCAGATTCAGATTTCAACTAGACTCTAAGCAGCAGTAGAAGTCAAACGAGGTTTTTTGGCTTTCCTTTTCGTTATGCTATCAATTCAGTTGAAACCGAGACTGTACCTGTGTCGCCTTGTTGTCTGATCCAAGCAGAAACTCTTTCGTCTCACCATTTGTGTCCTAGGATGGTCCCAGTGTCCTTGCAGGACCATCTCAAATTCTGTTTCCTTCGCCCAAGACAAAAATGAAAATAACTAGATCTGCAGTCTTCAAACGCAAGCAAAAGCAGAAAAACTGAAATTAAAAATGATTGACTGAAGTTTGTTTATGGAGATTTTGATGATATTTTTTAAAGCCAGTGGTTGTGAAGTTTTTGAATGGGTGAAATGTCACACGTATATGTATCCGTAACCAAGGTCAGCACTTGAAGTACTTACGCAGCCAAAATTATTGCTGTTGATTGATACCCGCCAAGGTGTTCAACGCGTTAGTTCTGCACACTCTCTTGAAAGCGTACAATTGATACTAACTTTGACTGTTAACCATTTAGTTTGCTTCAAGATTTTAGTTCTAGAGTGAGTTTAGCTCAGATTTTCTTGGGTTATCTCACCTCTCGTTTTTTCTTGATTTTTCTCAGTTCAAAAATAAAAAAATTTCTGTCTGTGAGTTATCTGCCCTTGTGAGCAGGCGTCAAAAATCTTCTTTTTTTGGAAATTGCTGACAAAAAAATCGTGCTTCGTTAGTGCGCACTATATACTACGCGCCATTTTATACTAAATTTGAGGTGGGTCCAGTGGACGCCAGCAAAACACGATTTTTTCATTTTTCAAATTTTTGAATTGATTTATTCTGGTTTTTGACAGATATTCTTTATCGAAAAAACTTTGCAATCGACACAGCAGACTATTTTATCGGGTGGGGGTGGTGGGAGGGGCGGGGGTGTTTCGTTCGTGTCGCCCACCCTAAGAATTGTCTACTGACCCACAAAAAGCATCCTTTTTCGTGATCAGCAGACTTGAATGCCTGGGGTGGGTGACACAAAAGGAACCCCTCCCCCCCCCCCACACACACACACACAACAAATTGGTCTCCTGTATGTTTGTGTCGATTGCAAAGTTTTTCCGATGAAGAATACCCGGGTTGATCCAAAGTCGCTATCCTAGAACTTTTCTTATAAAAATCTTACAATTTCTTACAATATTTGGCTTTAACTTAAAAAATGTTACAAGATAGGGTTTTTTTCTCATAATAGAGTTATAAGATTTTCCTACAACAAAGTTTTTCAAAGATGTTTTTTGTTCGTTTTTGTCTCTAAAATCTCTAAAATAATTTTAAACCGCTGATTACGTATTACTAGAAGATTTATTAAAATTCTGTTTTAGAGATTCTGTTTCCGAATTTTTTGATCGAATTGCAAATAGTATCAGCACTATCTGAAAATTTTAACTGGCATAAATTTGAAAAAAAATTTAACTTTCCCACAATTGGTTTTTATCTTTTATTGCAGTAGCGTTTATCTGTTATTGGCGATTTTTTTGAGTTTTAAGAAAAAGTTGAACTTTTTTACAAGAGAAATGCAAGATAGCGGAAATATTCTACAAATCTTATAAAAAGTTCTACGATAGGGAAATTTTTTGAAGGTTGATCTACCCGGGTATCTGTCAACAATTAGAAAAAATCATTTTCGGACAAATTATCAAATTTGAGCATCCATTGCTTAGTCGATGACAACAAGTGCTTGTCAAAAATACTTAATTCTTGTAGTAATGTTGCAGTCACAGTAATAGTTACAGTCATCGCTACATTGAAACCGATTTTCAAAAATGCAATTTTTTTTATTAAAAAATTTCCCAGTAAGCAGGAAAAGTTGAGACAGAAAAGTCAAGTTTAGATCATAACATTTTTCCTTTGATTATTGAAGCACGAATTTATGCATCAAACATTTGCTATAGCTTTAAGAATGATGTAATGTTTCTCACAGTGAAAAATACTATGAAAAACTGCGCCGATATGGGCCCGATATAGTGAAAAACTGTGGACTACACCTCCGAAAAAAATTAATGTCGTACAGCGAATATTTATTAGGTTTACCCGTATGGCCTTATATGGTGGACTTATAACTCCGCTGCTAATCACAGGAACTACCATTATTATTACTGCCTAAAAAAGTCATAATTAAAAGCAAACCAATGCACTCACGCTTGTTATAAGTTCAACGCCAATGAATACATTTGGGAGCAATTTTCTTTTATTCAACCAACAATGAAAGATTGGATTTTTGTGACTTAAACCCAATTGGGGATTGCTTGAAGCTATTTTGGTAATTAGTTTTGAGCCGAAACTCCAGAACACTAACGCTTATTATAATCTTCATATTTGGTTGTCAAAGGTGCTTTTACACAAAGAAAATAACCTTGAGTAGTTAACCAAAGAGCCAAATGATCATAATTACAATAATCAGAAAGAAAGGGCTGAATTTTAAAATTCATTGATGCTTGGTAACTGACGAAGGTATCTTTTGTGCTCACAGGCACGCTATGATAACCTTTTGTTAAATACCTATCCTCATGAATTATTTACACTCATTGGACGTCAAAATGTAACCAAGTTGGACGCTAAGATGTCAACCTAATTTTATAACCAGCTCTCCAAAACTAATTTGAAAACAAAATAGGTAAGCTGCAATTAAAACTATGAGTTTTCAAAAAAATTCAAAATTTATCTTCTTTTTAGGTGGATCAAATTGATTTTCCGAGTTTTTGCAAAGCATTATTAGCAATTGCAAAAAAATTCAATCCGCAGTAAAATTTTTAAAAATCAAGCCGAAACTGCAGTTTTTTATCAAAATTCTTTAGCGCTCACCTCTCAAAGTTTGTAATAAATCGAACTGAAAAGTACCTTTAGAAAAACAGATGTAAAGTATAGTACCGAAAAGGGGTCGACTCATTGGAAGATGAAGTGTCACTTTCCTGAGACGAAGCTACTGGTCCCACTCTCTAAATACAAATCGAAGGTGAGTAGTGAGTTATGACCGAGTTGGTTAACTCATAGAGTAATTTCGGATAGGGTACACCGTCTGCTCGTCACGCTATCTTATTTTCGGCCGGATAGATTCGTGCAACTTCTTAGTCTAATACCGATCCTAATCTTACTCTTATACTATCTAGTCTCAGGTTGTTTAACTAGTCTCTGCTAGGCTCAATAGATCTAGGGTATACTGGTTTATTGTGGCTGCTGAAGTGCTCGGGAGAGTCCAACTAATTTCTGAGTTAAATTCAAATCTCTCTGGTGCTGAAATTACAAGTAACTTCAGCACTTACAAATAAGTGGGTTGTTAGTTAGATGGATCATGATTGGTTAATATTAAATACTTTACATTGGTAAAATATCTAATTTATCCAATCATAAAATGTAGTTTAGATCAGGTTCCACCCATCCGGGTTTTACAGAGTTTTTTAGAATAGTTCTTCTGCAATTCGAAGGATGGATGATGGACGTTGGTTCTTGGCGAACATCATTTTCTTCCGTTTCCTCTTTGTTAAAGAAGTTCCAGGAAGCTGGAGTTAGAGACATAAGACGTTGTGTCTTCTAGTGATAACGACTAAGTCTTTGCAACAAACTCAAATCTGATTTCAGAATGGTTGGCTATGTCAGGTTTTTCTGTTCTGCGTGGAGAACTTCTTTTGTGTCTGATCTAGTTTGGGAATGGCGTGGAGATTGTGCGTGGAGGGGATGCCTGGTTACTCGGATCTGTACGTATACTTGAACATCGAGGTGGTCATTGGTCTAGTTCAATGAAGTCCTTTTCTGCGAAGTCAAGTCGTACTCTAAATCCTTTGAGTTGTGATTGTGGGCGGCATATTGATTGTAGTTGGCCATTCTTTCTCGAGTGTAGTAGGGTCGTTTTGTGTTTTGTCTTTGGATGTTCGTCCTTGGTGTTGTATTCTGATCTATGTATTGCATAATGTAATTTACATTTTATAAAACATTTTTTAGTTTAATATTTTTTAATTATGATTTTAGTTAGTTGTTTTCACAAAAGCTTTTTGTTTTAGTTCGGTTATTTTGAAGAGTTACTCACACTTGAGTAGCTCTTATTAAAAATAGAGGTGTGGTCACAAAGCGTGGATGTAGCGCGGTGGGTTAGGCCGGCTATAGAGCATGCTCAGGACGTCCTTCCTGGTGGGTTAGGCCAGGAGTGGGAGTATGATTTCATGCGGTTTTTGTGAGGGGTCCTGTTATGTGACAACGTTTTATGTTGGGTTTGTTGTGGTTTTTCTTATGTCTTGTTGGTTATGTCCTTTTTCCAAAAATCAAATTGTTCGTGGTATGGGTTTGTCTTTCGACTTTTTTGTGTTTTATTATTTCTTTCTTAGACTTTATAATAGTCTTCAAAAGAATAAATTATCCAGTTTTAAACTGGGTTAATCCGGTTTGGGTACCATTGGTTTCCTTTTCTTAGTCATGCTGTTATTCTATGATTTGTGGTATTTAGTAAGCTGCGTTGGTTAGTTTTGTTTAGTATATGATTCCTTTCCAACCGGGTTAAAGGAAAGTTTGGAACATGTTATTATATGTTAGAGTTGTTGAGTGTGAAAACTTGAAACTGAAATTCATTATTTTAAACAATTCTTCGTGGGCGAGCTGTGCGAGTGTGGATAGAATTTCTGTGCGAATGAATGAAAATATCAAAAGGTTAGTACTGCATTTGCATTTTATTAATTTATTGCATAGAATTTGGAAATTTACTGCTAGGTATGGGGGAATTTTAAGTTACAAATTTTCATCATAATTAGATTTACTGCTTGTGGGGAAAATTTTAGAAATGAATTTACTGCATTGGTATTAAATTTATAAATTTATAAGTGTAAGAGATTAATAGAATTTTTGAAATCTGTTTGATGAAATTTGCGATTTTTATTTGTCTTTTGTGGTTTTTGTAGGTGATTGTCGGATGAAGGCTAAAAATCTAAAGAAAACATGGATAAAGTATGGTGAGTTTTTAATATTTTAATTAGTTAGTAATATTCATTTAATTCATACTTACCTGTTAGTCGTCGGGGAAAAAACCGTGGGGGAAGATGTCGTGGATGAGATCGGAAGTTGTGAGTAGTTTAGCTAAGATGCGGATGATATTTTTAGTCTGAAGCAGTGGCCAAAGCAATTGAAGTGCCTTAATAGTGGTTAGTTCTTCAGTGCCAACTGCAAACTCATAAGGTGTGTTTTGGATTAGATTATATAATTTGTGATTGAATTTAGTGTTGTGGATGAATTCTAAAATTGGGATTTCTATAGGTTGTACAAACTCGTGCGGGATAAGGAAGGGTCGGGATTCTTCGGCGTTGAAGGTCTTGGTGATGGGACAGAAGATGTACATTTGGGTTATGGGGTCATAATTACGAAGAATACCATGGAGGTTAGTGTCTTTAATACAATATGTGAAATTTAGGAAAAATGGTGAAGTGTATTTGGAATTAATGAATTGAAAACGATGGTGTGGTTGTCTAGAGGGTGTGTGTAGGTCAAAGTGATTTTGGATGAAGCGATAATAACTATATGTGTGGGTTTGTTTAGTGCGCAACATAATATCGTGTGAGCAGTGTAAATCTCTTTCGTGTGGTGCAAGGAAATGAAAGGTTAGTGAAAATATTTGGAAGCGTTCTTTAAAACTTTCGTATGCTTGTGTGTCTGTTAGTGCTTCTGAAATAATGTGATCAAACTTTCGGTCGAAGATGTTTAGTGTAAATATATATGGTGTCTTGATGAAAAATTTCTCGGTAATTTGTGGATTAGCGAAGCGATCGTCGTCTAAGAATTGATCTTGGTTAGCTCTGATGATGTTGTGATCATAGTATTCGAGTGTATATTCGTTAGCTCTAGGTGCAGTGTGTGTTTTTAGTGATTTTTTATATCCAACGTAAGTAAATTGTCTAGCGGTTAGTGGTGTAGTGAGTCGATATAGCATGTCCGTATTTCGCTCTATATCGATGTGAGTGTTAGATAAAGGTAAGCAAAGAGGGTTAGTAAAATGATAATATGAGGTCCAAGAGAGAGTGGGCATTAAAACGTATTCATCTACAAAGTTTCGTGTTTCGTTAGTGTCGTGGGGGGTGTATTCACGGGCTGTTCCTGGTTTTGCTGGGAAAGGATGGTTGGGGAACTTTCTTTTAAAAGTGCGGTGAGCTCTATTAGTGTTGAGTGAAGATTCAGTTGATGTGGATGATGGTGCTAATGATTCAGTATAATTTGAAGAGGGTGTAGGGGTAGGGGGGTTGGATGAATTTATTGTGGAGGAGATTTGGTTTATTGTTGGGGTATGGAGGTGGTAGGGTTGTTGTTGAAGGGTAATAAAGTTATCTAGCTCTGGGGAGATTCGGGGGGTGTCTGGAGAATGAGATGATTGGTCAGAATGAAATGAGGAGTAGGTTGGGGTAACTTGGGAAGCATAAGAGGGTGTGGAAATGATTGGGTCAGGGTTATTGGATAATATGGGTTGAAAAGGGGGTTGAGAAAAATTTGAAGAGTTATGAAAATTATTGGATGGGGATGGTTCTGAATCGGCGAATTCATCGGGGGTTTCAATATTCGGGTTATTGAGTTGTGAGATGGAATATAAAACTGAGATGTGTGAATTAGTGTCGGAATTCATGCCTGATGTTACATTACTAGATGGAAAATCGGGTGGCGGAAAAGCAAAAAGTGGTATTATTGGGATTGGAGAGGTAAGATTGGTTGGGTGGGAATTTGATCGGTGTAGTGATCCAAGTTGGCGGCTCATCGTGGGCTAAAAAAATGATTATTTTGAGACTGAAAAGCGGTGGTATGGGGTTGTTCAATAATTTGTTCATAAGTATTATCATCTTGTGACTGGTGTGTCATTATATGTTGGATGGGACTTTGTGATGTGGTGAGTCGAAAATTTGGATTATGTGTGATGGCTAAATTTCGAAAATTTCGTGGGACTAGGGATAGTGGATGGTTATTTGGTAGGGGTGGTAATTGTGGTGCCGTTGGCGTTATGTCTACATTGTTATGTTCTTCGTCGTATGTATTTTGTCGTGTTGCTATTTTTGTGTTATATTCTTTTATTTGTGCGTCTAAAAGAATTTTGTTTATAGATGTAGAAAAGATTCCAAAAAATCCTGCAAAGAGTATGCGTGCTACACTTGCTTGTCGATTGACTTGTGTGTGTATAGCACATGTGTTATAGATTCCTTTTAAAAGTGAGAAAAGAAATCCAATAAAGTTAAACATTGCGTATAAAATAGTCAATTTTTCTAAGATGTAGTAGGGCCATCCTAGAAAATCGAGGATCTCATTTTTGAGTGTAACAAAGCTAAAAATGTTAATTGGTGATATATCTTGGGGACGGTATTTTTCACCGTTTAGATATATATAATCTTTAATGTCTTTAAAATATCCGCTATAGTCTTGCGTGTAGATATCGGCAAATCCTGCGGTTTCTGCAAGTTTGCGTAAATTTTGGTCTATTGATTGTCTTTGTATAGTGTCCATTTGTGTTAATAATTCTTGGAATTGTTGTGTTCTAATGTGATGTTGAATATCTGATTTTGAATAGATTCCTATTGATTGTAAGTCTATATTTGGGTTTCGAGCAATAGCGCGAATGCTTTCTGGTGAAAATTTTTTGAGTGATTGCATTAATGTGGGATATGGAGTGAGAAGATAATATTTATTTTCATCAGGGTTTAGTTGTACTACATTGTGGCTGTTTTCTGATCCACATGGGACTGCGGTATCCCAGAAATAGGTTCTTCGTGAAAGTGTATCCACGAAATGTACTTTATTCTTATAAAAGATAGGGATTCTTTTATAACATCGTTTATCTTCAAAAACGTATAGTGGTGATACTTTTTTAGTACAAGTATAAAACCATAAGATGTTTCCTTCATAGTCTAAAAAATTTGATCTATTTCCAGATAATAAGTATCCTGCATAGGGTATTTTTAATACTGCTAGTGCAAGTGATTGTAATATTTGTGTTCGTTCTAA